ACTGTACTAGTTAGTGTAAATTCTGAGGAAATTTATTCATAAAAAAAATGAGCCAAGAGAGTCCAAATCTTCCATAACAGCATTTCAGAGGAGGCTAATAAAGTGAAATGAAATATCTGTCTGTCTATACGTCTGTATCTGAATACAAACACTATATTTCCAAGTACTGTCCACTGAATAAAACTGCATAAAATTACAACCTTAAATCTTTCAAAGAGCAGACAAAATGTTGTCCCTCTATCAACGTGCATATACAGAGAGAGAGAGAGCCACTGAATTCTCTTCAATATAAATCAGTCTCCTCTGAAAAGCAAAGTGATTTGTGAAGAGTGCAGGGAGACTTCCGCAAAGACACAGGGTGCCCAAAGGGTACATCTTGCTGTTCTTAGAAGATAAAATTTAGATTTGAGGAGGGAATTTTGAGCAAAATCCCTGGGTGTTAGGAAGAAAAGAAATCTGGCATGTGTCCAATCAACCTAACTTATTTCCTGTCTCATAAAAAGATTTATAAAAAGCAACTAAACACAAGCATAATTCAGGTATACTACCGGTATTCCCACTATCCAATTTTGTTTCAGTTTGTTGAAACTTTTCTCTGATTATGCCTTTTTTAATTCCAAGGTTCACTAACAGTCTACTAGGTTTAAAGGAGGTAACTTTGGATATTTTTTTCTGAAGGAAAATGTAGTAAAAACAATTACTGGCATTCCAAGAAGTAATAAATTGTACTTTTTAGCAACCCTCCCTCCTCACGAGGACAGGCTGAGGAGAAGAAAAGGAGATTTGGAGTCCAGACTCCACAGAGTCTTTCTTCATAGGAACTGCCAGAGTTTAGGAAGTCAGAGCTTGGGCCAGTCACTCTCTCTTAGCCCAATGAAGCAAACAATGGCAAGTCACTTCTGAAAAACCTTGCCAAAAAAACTGCAGGGACTAGTTCAGGCAGTCACCAGGAGTCAAAAACTGACTCAAAAGCAAGAAGGTAAGCAAAGCATGGCAAAAAAAGAAGAAACCAACTTCATAAATACTATATTATCATTGCCTGCTAATTCTAATAAAACAGGAACTATGTTATGTGGTTTGTCTTTTTGCATATAGGATAGACACAGACAGATATTTTATTTTTTTTTAAGTTTAGTTACTGCCATGCAACATCTGTTCTCTAAAAAAATCCAGATTGTGCCAGCAAGAGTGCAATTGAAACCTGCCCCCTTTTGCATGCATCACATGTGCATAAAAGGCTTTGATCATGTAGTTGCAGACACCACCTGGCCTTTTTTGGGCCCTTTTGGCACTTTCTTGGCTGCCATGTAGCAACATAAGCCGGCATGACAGAACTTGGAGCTGCATCTTGCTAGAAGAGAATTTACAGCTACATTCCATTGTATAGCATTGTATAGACTTTTATCATTGCTACCTCTGATTTAGTTGAATTTGGATTAATGTAAAAGTAGTCCTCGACTTATGACCTCAATTGAGCCCTACACTTCTGTTGCTAAGCAAGGTAGTTGTTAAGTGAGTTTTGCCATGTTTTACAACTGTTCTTCCCACAGTTAAGTGAATTGCTGCCGTTGTTAAGTTAGTAACATAGTAACCTATCTTCCCCATTGACTTTGCTTGCCAGAAGGCTGCAAAAGGTGATCACATGAGCCTGGGTCACTGCAGCCATACATGCCAGTTGCCAAGCGACAGAATTCTGATCATGTGGGGATGCTGCAATAATTGTAAATGTGAAAAGTGTGTCATAAGTCACTTTTTTCAAACACCCTTGTAATTTCACTAAATAAATGGCTGTAAGTAAGGGACTACCTGTTGTATGTTTAGATTTTACTCTGCATTTTGAAGACTCTTTCAAAAATGTAGTGTTTCAAAACATGACAGTCAAAACACTGATAATTTATTATAACTTAATTACATTTTCAGCCTACCAGGTCTGATTTAAATGGACTTCACTGTCATCCATGTTACTGGTGCTGTTTGAAGTGGTTTTAACTTAAAGAAACTGGGATCAATTTATATGGATTTGTATATTCACTAAATCATTAACTGAGTTAAATTATACCTCAGAGATGATGAAGATGATGCCCTGGAATTATTTGTGATCACTTATAACGCTAAAAGAAGTTACGCATTTATGCTTTTACCTGAGGTATTTTTATACCTCAGGTAAAAGCACAAAAGAATCTTAGTTCATTTTAACTCAACTGGTGTAAATTAATTGCAGTCCAGTTTGTTCAATCTTCATCTGTTTCACCTATCTTGTAAAATTACCTCAGGTAAAAGCCTAAATTGATTTTATTTTTACTCATTCAGATTATGAGCACTGCAGAGTGTAATGAAATCAGAAAATAACAGCACAAAGTATGTTAATTAAATTGTAAGTCCCATTTAATGTAAGGAATCTTACTGTTAGGTAGGTATGTAAAAAGATGTTAGCATTGTTAGGGGGAAATATGTTGACAGCAAAGTAAATTGAAATCTTTATTAATACCATTATCAATTTAAATAAAAATAATGACTTGAATCGCCTGTACAGTTTTTGTTCAAGAGGGGCATTGTCCAAACATATAATTTTTAAAAATGTTAATATTCAATAAAACCAACATTATCTCAGAGGAATACAGATGCTGAGCAGGAGGCAGTTAGAAAATATTCTGACTCAATTTGGAACAATGCACTTTAAGGTAATCTTTAAACCTACTGTAAACATTTTGACATTCTTCTGTTCATTCTAACTTATTTCAGCTCTAGGTAATTGAAGTTAGAAACATCAAATTCCAACTATTTTTAAAGTTTGTAGTCAAAGTATCTACATATATCCATTTAAATCATTATGTATCTGCTACAGCCAGAGAAATTCATTTCAGACATGTGAAATTGGTTTAGAAATTTCAGTGAACCTCACCCTGATGAAAAATATATATTTAGAAAAAAATCGGATAACTAGGAATTTGTAAAATAGCTAAATGGAATTAATACTAAAGTGGGGAGTGCTAGGTGGAGTGGGCTTTTTTGTGCAGTCCCTTCTTTGGCTGGTCAGTCAGCCTACTTCCAAACATAGGTTTTTAAAAAGAGGTCTAAGGTTCTGGCAACCAGATCCATGGGAAGCCCCAGTGAGATGGGGAGATTGCCTCTGGATAGCCAGGCATCTCTTATGTCTTGCAGACCAAGCTAGAATAGCTATAGAAGGCAATGTCCAATGACCTCAGGTGGGAGGGCATGCATACAGCAGACTAAAAAAAAAAAAAGCTAGATGGATCCCAACCCTTGACCAAATCAGCAAATGGTCAGGGAAGCGAGCCGGATTATATTCACTGAAAAATCATGTTGGAAAAGAGACAACTGTGCTTTAAAAATGAAACAGCCAGGGCCTGCCCAGAGCTGCATCTGGCAGGTACAAATAAGAAAAAGGCCATGACATGAAGATATGGCAGGGGGGAAAAGTTACTATGACATTTGTGTACAATGGTTAGGTACACAAGATGAAGAGCCCTATGTCTGAGTACCTGAGTTAAACTCATGCCTCACAGATACTGTATAGTTATGAAGAAACACTATACACCTCATGGAGAAAAAGCATACCATAGTCTGGCAAGCTTTAACTTGGTTGCAAGTAAATTCCACTGAATTTGATGAAGCTCATTCTGTAAGTGATTTGTGAGAAGCAGTTGAAAGGGCTGAAATAATTATAATTAAATATTTCATCATTTAATAACAATAGAAATTTATCTAATTTGACTAAGTGATTATCTTTGATGCATATGCTATGTCCACATTATTAAAGTAAGGCAACAAACAATTCTACCAGATTTTTTGAAATTTTAGTCAATTTTTTTCTTCATACTTCAATATTTAACAATCTCCAGAAAATTGCCTATATATGCTACTGTAGTTATAAGTTATGCTTTATGAGCCCATTTCAGTTAGTATTTAGTAATAGTAAATAGCTAAATTCAACTATTTAAATACCAGAGATTCCAGTACAAGGGTCATAATCCAGCTAAAACAAAATATTTTCCTATCTTTAGGATGTTTTTTCAAGGGAAAGAATTTACACCCTTTTAGTGAAATAAAGATGAATAAATCCATACAAACTATTCCAAACAATATTTTGCTTTCAAAATTAAAATATGTATTACAATGTACAAATCTTACAGCTCTTGTAAATTATAGAACTACAATGTGGTACTTTTAAATACTAATGAAACGTTCAACAAATGGGGGAAACACTTTTTTGCTGTTTTTCACAGCATATCACTCTTTACCAAATCGGGAGGAAATATGGTCTACAAAGAGGGGATTGATGGGTGAATGGAGTGAAGGGAGATGGGGAAAATCCGTCCGGGAGGGACGTGAACAGCGCTGAAGTTATGTGGGGGTCAAGTGGATGAGATCTAGGAGGAGAGCAAGAAACGAAACGTCCCAAGTTAGGAGGCGGCAACCCTCTTGACGCGTTGCTTTCTGCACGATTCCAGCAGCTCCTGGGGTCAACCTCAGTGGGCTGCAGGAGAAACGGAAAAACTGCTGGCTGCCCCGCGCTGGGTGTGAGAAGTCGGCGGCGAGAACGAGAAGCAATAGAATTCTAAGAGTTGGAAGGGATCTTGTAGGTCATCTAGCCCAACCCGCCTCCGCCAAAGCAGGAAACCCTACACCATTTCTGACAGATGGCCGTCCAGTCTCTTCTTTGAAAGTTTCCAGCGATGAAGAGAGAAGCGCAGACGGGTTTCAAAGGAGGGGAGTGGGAAAGAAATGGGCAGGGATGGCGAAAATCCGGATGACCTAATTCAACCCCCTCTCCGTAAGGGCGATTAAAGAGAGGGTCTTCCAAATGCTCCTGAGAGGACCGAGTGCCTTTTCTCTCGGAGGGAGAGTGGCTGAGGCCAGCCGTCTCGCGAGCGAAAAGAGACTATTTTGCCACGATGAAAAAGGAGGGGCAGCATTTCCCCCTCCCTCCCGGAACGTCGTTCTCGAGGAGGGGCGTCCTGTTGAGAAATGCGTGGGGGTGGGGGCAGCGAGTCAGAGCCAGCGGATGGAACGCTGGGAGCGTGACGTGTCCCTCTGGCCGCCGCCCTCCCTGCTCAAGCTATATAAAGGAGGCAGCTCACCCTGTCGGTCTTTTTCGCTACGGGTTTGCCGCTGCTTCGGAGGTAAGTGGTGCTCGACGCGCGCGTGCGCGCGGCCTAGCCGCGTTTATTAGTCCTGTAGGGGGTGGCCGTGAGGAAGGCCTGAGGACCGGTTGAGACGCACGTGCTCCTGGCCCGAGCCAGAGCCGTTCTCGACGCCCGCGAGGGGTTCGGGAGACGGAAGGCGCAGCCACGCACGCTTCGCGGGGGAGGGGGGAAGATGGGATCCACGCGGGTCTCTCTCTGCGTCACCGAGCCCTCCTTTCCCCTCCCTCGCCCCCCCCCCTCCATTAGGCGCAACAGGTCTGGCGCGAGGGTTTCGGTTACAAATCTGGACGGGCCCATTCATGCCTTTGGGACCCGAGCGACAAGGGTTTATGAGGGAAAGATTGGGAGCGTCCGCGGGTCCTCGGCGGGAAACGTGGTTCCGGTGGAACGGCCGAGTGCACTCGTGGCGCGGCGGCTCCTCCGCTGTTCTTAAGCCACCCCCACCCCGCGCGCCTCTTTCAGCTTCCCCCGTCGGCGTTGAGGCGGGAAGGTTCTTCGCCGGGATCCATCCCGCCGCTTGCTTTCCGCTTCATACAAAAAAAATGGCGGCTCTCGGCGGCCGTGGCGGCTGCTGCCGCTACCGTCACAAAATGGAGGACGCGGGCGGGCCGGCGGGGCGGGGCGCGCCAACAAGTGTCTCCCCTCCCCCCTCCTCCTCCTCCTCCGCGGCTCGTGCTCGCCTGACGCCCGACACAAAGGAGCCGCTCGGCCTTTGCCTTCCCCCTCACGCCTGGGATGCCCCTGGCGGCGGCCTAGAAGCGCTGGAGCCTTCCCGAGTCGAGTCCCAGTTATCTCAGTGCCCCTCGCCGCCCTGAAGGGGGTGGGGCGGGGCCGAGGAGCTCGAGGCAGGCCTTGGGCCTTGTCTCGGCCAAGGAGCCCCGGAAGGAAGGAAGGGACTAAGCTCCCTGGCCCTCCTTCCATGCCCTGGATTACTTGGTTACCAGAGAATTTTAAGTGATTTTTTTTCCTGTTCCGTTGGAAAAGTCTTATTTTTTTTTTTCCCGTATGTACTTTATCCCGTCGAAAGGACCTTTATTGGAGCCGACGGAAAAGCCTATCTAACCACCCAACATGGGAAAGGAAAAGACCCACATCAACATTGTTGTCATTGGACACGTCGATTCTGGCAAGTCCACCACCACAGGCCATCTGATTTACAAATGTGGTGGGATTGACAAGAGAACCATTGAGAAGTTTGAGAAGGAAGCTGCTGAGGTGAGTTTGGCCCGATGAATTGTTGGTTTATCTAATTTTTATGTAAGGTGGTTGACTTGGAACAAAGTAATTTGCTTTATTTCAGGTATTGCTGTTGAAACCTGTTCAGCATTCTGTCTCATGTACCTTACCATAGTTACATGTTGTGTAGTGTGGATTTTGTAAACCTAAGGAGAAAAGAAAAAATTACATAAACTAAATGCGTGGGAGAAATGTAATTAGAAATGTAATTGTTATATAGGTAGATACATTATACTTAATGAATGCAGTAAAGTTATATGTTGATTGGAAAAGGTATGCATTTAAGTGGATATCTTTAAACATTGGCAGATGCAGGGAGTTGGATTAGCACTGTCAGGGGGTTAAGTAAGTGAGAGATACTTGGAATTCCTCACTAGTTGTGCCAGTTGCTTGACCTGCTAAACAGTTTGCAGATAATGTTTCAGAGCATTGGTGCATGTTTCCTTTAAAAGAGCACCAGCAGTCTTGCAACGTTTCATGCTTTTGTGTAAAAAAAAAATTTTTTTTCTTAATAGATGGGTAAAGGCTCCTTCAAGTATGCATGGGTATTGGATAAGCTGAAGGCAGAACGTGAACGTGGTATCACTATTGATATTTCACTCTGGAAATTTGAAACCAGCAAGTATTATGTCACTATCATTGATGCTCCTGGACACAGAGACTTCATCAAAAACATGATTACTGGTACATCCCAGGTAAGAACTAATGTGAACTTTGTCAGATACAATAATTTTAACTAATATTGTAGGTTAGAAACATGGAAGTTAATAACGACCTTGTCTCTCCCAAAGGCTGACTGTGCTGTCCTTATTGTTGCTGCTGGTGTTGGTGAATTTGAAGCCGGTATTTCCAAGAATGGACAAACCCGTGAGCATGCCCTTCTGGCTTACACTCTAGGTGTAAAACAGCTCATTGTTGGGGTCAACAAGATGGATTCCACTGAGCCACCTTACAGCCAGAAGAGATATGAGGAAATTGTCAAAGAAGTTGGCACATACATAAAGAAAATTGGCTATAACCCAGATACAGTGGCATTTGTACCAATTTCAGGCTGGAACGGAGATAACATGTTGGAGCCTAGCTCTAATGTAAGTAATTATTAATAAGGGGTTTTTTTTTGTCTGCAGTCACATCACAAAGGCTTGCAGACAATGAATTGCTGTGGTTTTTTTCCTTTGTAGATGCCCTGGTTCAAAGGGTGGAAGGTGACTCGTAAAGATGGCGGTGCTAGTGGAACTACCCTGCTAGAAGCTCTGGATTCTATCTTGCCACCAACTCGTCCAACTGACAAACCTCTACGCCTGCCACTTCAGGATGTCTACAAAATTGGTGGTAAGTATTACAACAGCAATATACAGCAAATAATTATTTGCAAAAGCTTATTAGTGGTGTATATTTACATTTACAAACCTGGCTAGAAAAACTATTTCTTTATTTAAGGGATTGGTACCGTTCCAGTCGGTCGTGTGGAAACTGGCATTCTAAAACCAGGCATGGTGGTGACATTTGCCCCAGTTAATGTTACAACTGAAGTAAAATCTGTTGAGATGCATCATGAGGCTCTAAGTGAAGCTCTTCCTGGTGATAATGTTGGCTTCAATGTAAAGAATGTATCTGTAAAAGATGTCCGTCGTGGTAATGTTGCTGGAGATAGCAAAAATGATCCACCAATGGAAGCAGCTGGATTCACAGCACAGGTAACTTGACAGAAGTTTTATTGTCAGCAATTGTAAATTCCACAGTTAGGACAGTTGATTCACTCGAATCTATTCCCATAGGTTATCATCCTGAACCATCCAGGCCAAATCAATGCTGGCTATGCCCCTGTTCTGGATTGTCATACTGCTCATATTGCTTGCAAGTTTGCTGAGCTGAAGGAAAAAATTGATCGTCGTTCTGGTAAGAAGTTGGAAGATGGTCCAAAGTTCCTCAAATCTGGAGATGCTGCCATAGTTGACATGATTCCAGGCAAGCCTATGTGTGTTGAGAGCTTTTCTGACTATCCTCCTCTGGGTAAGTGTTATTTATTAGAAGTATCTTGTGCTGATATTGTTACTGTCTGGTCAAGATATAATGAAACTTTAGTTCCTGATCTTGGGGTGTTGGATGCTACATGTAGCAGATCAAATCCTTTTGAAGCAGTCCAGGGCCATCTGATCAAAATTCAGTCACAAGTGGCATGCATTTATGTGTTTAGTGTCCTGGAGTCATGTGAACTCACCTTTTGTGACCTGAAAAGCAGTCAGTGGGGAAGCAAAACTGAACTGTTGCTTAGCAACGGAAATGAGCTCAGTTGTGGTCATAAGTTGAGGACTATGCGATATGCAAATCACTAAAATATACTCTCAATTCACCAGGCATCATCAAATGATGGGTGTGTTCCTCCCTCCCTCTTGTGTCTTGTAAAGAGTTTTCACTATGTCCTATGCAAGAAACTTCATATAAAATTTACTTTTTGCTTAGAGGAGAAACTTGCAATGTTTTGCCTACTGAAAGAGTTAAACGGTGTTGGTGCTATAAGACTTAAGTGTTTGGGTGTATTGGGTTGGACAGTTTTGAAATACCAAGTTAATTACAGCATCATTTACAGTTGGTAATGGAAGATCTGAATTGGAAAAAAAAAGGAAATTGCTATACTTTTGAAAGTTCTAATTCTTTTTTTTCTTCCCCCCTCCCCCCCCATTAGGTCGTTTTGCTGTGCGTGACATGAGACAGACAGTTGCTGTTGGTGTCATCAAGGCTGTTGATAAAAAAGCAGGTGGTGCTGGCAAGGTCACAAAGTCTGCCCAGAAGGCTCAGAAGGCTAAATGAAAATTCTGTACAACTGCCACCTCAGTCTTAATCAGTGGTGGAAACATGGTCTCAGAACTTTTTGTCTCAATTGGCCATTTAAGTTTAATAGTAAAAGACTGGTTAATAATTACAATGCATCGTAAAAGCTTCAGAAGGAAAGGAATGTTTGTGGACCATTTGTTTTGTGGCAGTTTCTAAGTTATTAGTTTTTAAAATCAGTAATCTTTTTTTAAATGGAAACAACTTGACCAAAATCTGTCACACATTTTGAGACCATTAAAATCAAAAGTTTAATGCAAAGTCTCTGTGTTCTTTGGGGCTATTGGATACTCTTTGATATTCAAAAATATTGTGCTTTGCTTGCAGAACAGTGGTAGCTGAAAATAATTATATCTCATTGATTTGGGGGAACATGATAGTTTGCAAAAGTATTGCAGCACAAAGTCTTAAGTGTGATCTTAGTTTTGTGCCAACATCTAAGAATTAGAAAATAGTCGAGTTAAAACTGAAGTATATTGAAGCTACAAAAAGTTTGTAGATTCAGTTTTCTGTGTAATACTCAAAAGCCCACGTAGGCAGTGATTTCTGTTTCCATGCTATTAGTACAGGTTAGCGTTCGATCATTTTAAATTGAATTTTTATTGGAGCATTGTGTGATCATGTTGCAGGTTATAATAGACATTCACTTCAGATAGAATATTTCTCAAGCTAATTGCTGCAACTTAATGGGTGTTAAATCAACTAAAATGCTGTTTTCCTGCTTTATAAGAAAGTTCTGAGAGATCCTAATATTTTCCAGGATGATACTTCATCTTCAGTATAGTAATTCTAAAGTGAAATTACATCCTTCAAAAAAATCATGACCAATTAAAAATTTAAAGTTTTGTTCAAAAGAAATATTGTGCTGAGAGTAATCTTATATTCAGGTTCTAGGTGTTATACCAAAGTTGGTGGCTTAAGTCCTACAGTAAATGGAGTTAGTTCCATTTTCTTAGAATAGATTTGGTATTTTAATAGTGCTGTTAGAAGACATTGCTATGGACTATTTCAGTTTCAGAATTTTAATTTGCATTTGTGGTATCCTACAGGGATGTGGTCATTCATAAGGTCCTATAGCTTTTGTGGACCTTCATAAAGGGCAATAGAATTTTATATTAAAACAGTTACATGAACTGATGGTTGTTTTTAACCTATCCAGCCTTTTAAATACAAGGTGTAACATGCAGAGTAACAAGCTTGCTTTTCTATCCTTAAAATACTTGGTTTCTTTCAAATTGTTTTATGCTCCGGTTACAGCTGAGTATTTTTAAAGAATTCATGGTGAGAGTGAAGCATTGCTCTTTTTAAAATGAAAACTAAACCTGAGTTTTAAAGTTTGGGTTGTCTATTGTAACTGCTAGATAAACGTAACAGTGAAAAGAGGGTAATGACAGCTTGGCAGTATTATTACAAGGAATAACAATTTGAAGAAATGACATGTAATAACTAGCAAAGCTACTTTCAAGCCATGAAAGCCTTCGATTTAAAATAAAGATTAGGAACAATAGTAATTTCAGAAAGTTATTTTTAACCATTAGTCTCAAGTAGGCAGGTGAAGGTATTTCTCCTTTGTCCATTGGTTTTTCTCCCATTTATCTAAAAAGACTCGGACCAAAAGAAAATCCCACTGAGAAATATTGAAGACAAACAGCTACATTATGAAAGTATTATCAGCAAGTCTGATTAAGTCCTATGAGCTGCACTCAAATATATTTGGACAGAAGTGTCCCAGGACTTTGATTTTAAAATACCAAGCGAAGACAGCTTTGCATAGAATGAAGATAATTCTATGCTGTCATTGGAACTGATAATTAGCAATTACTTGCCTATGTCAAATAGTTACCTTTAGTTATTACTAATTTGATCAACGCTTTCTGGCTATTTACATATGTTGATTAGTTTTGCTTTCCATTGCATATGTTATAGTAATAGTATACTTCCTGTTGGGTTAATGAAAAAAATACTAAATTTTGTAAGCAAACACTTGGTCTTCTAGTTGATCTTCAATAAATTTTAAGTCTAGAATTACTTTACCTTCATGGCTCTTTATTTTCCAGGTAAGATGTTTCAAAGGAAAACATGAGTAATTATCTGCTGGACTGGACCATCCAGTCCAGAAGTCCTCTTGCAGTGACCAACTAACTGCACGAAAAAGCCCACTAGTCTTTCAGCAGGTGGCCTTCACTGAATGTGATTTGCATTGATTGCCCTTGGAAGTATATGTTTTTAGTCACTTTAGGGCCTAGTTAAGCACTTGAGCTGTATCAGAAGCTGCTACGATGTATTAACAATTCCATTCCCATATTTGGAACTTGCAATATGGAAAAAAAGTCATTTTAAAGCATTCATATACATTGGGTATTGCAAACTGCCTAGGCTGTTGTGCTCACTTCAATATGAAAAGTAAAATTGAGTGATAACTAAAGCCTTGTGTTAAAAAAGCAAGGTTTGGTAGGTTATGCTTGGAGAAAATGTTTTAAGGAAATCCTTAGAAACCAACATGCAGGGAAAAATGAATTGGGGAGGTTGCCCAATATGTGCATTGATTTTTTAAAACTTAGTGTGCATATGGAAAAAACTAAAATTGACTTTGCATACTTTCCCATTGCTTGAGGATATTGTCTGGTAGACAAGAATAATAGGTTTTTATATAGTGTTTTCCTCTGAAGGAGCAGAAAATCCCACATCTCCCTGAACAGACAGTTCATGGATGGATTGAGCAGGTTTCCTAGTTCTTCATAAGCATCAAGATTTGCTGCTGTTCAGAAGGCTGTCCTATTCAAAGGATCGTTTTTATCCCTCACTCAGTGATAAGTTGTTGCCCAAATCACAACTTTTTGTTGTTGATGGGGTGGAGCTACTTCCTATATGGGTACTCAAACAAGCTAGAGAAATAATCTTTTTCAACTCCGTTCCTTTAAATATTCTCCCAAGAAAGCCGGCTCTGATCATCAGGAATAAAAGAGATCCCTTGGTGTGAACCTTACTTAAATGTATTTATTCAAATTTCTGATAGCTACTCATTCCAGTAGACCCTGGATTGCTTAAAAAGTCCAAAATGCAATTTTATTTAACAATCAAAAGTTAAAAAAACACAACCCAAACTAAACCATAACAATAACAGAAAACCACAATATGGGCTCCAGAAACAAATTAATCTCAGGCTTGCGACCAAAAGTAGGCCTTAGTGGCTCTTTGGAGCCCCAGGAGAATGGTGCCCTCTATCTGAGGTGGGATGCTGTTCCAGGGAGCAAAACCACACTTCCTTAGTCCCTTAAGATGACAATGTTTAATGAAGGGATCTGGAGTTATCCACTCTGGAATGTATTGAACTGAAACAGTAGGGAGATTGGTCCTTCAGATATCCAGGCCCTATGTCATGAAGGTAAAGCCAGCAGCTTGCATTACACCTGGTAGCCAACTAGCGATTTATGCAGGGGTGACACAGGAGTACACCAGGAAGTACCTGGTATTGTCCATGCTGCTGTATTTTGAACCACTTCCAAATGGTTCAAGAGCGGTCCTAGTAGAGCACATTGCAATCCCATCATGAGATGCCCAAGGTATGATTAATATGGTTGAGGAAAGGGTGTAACTGCCACACAAGATGAAGCTGTGCAAAGGACCTGGCTAGATTCATCAAGCAGGAGAAGAACCCTTAAGACGCTCAATCTCAAATGGAAAAAATGCAATGCCACCTTAAGACCAAAGGTGAAAGCATCACCATTCTAGGAGAGCCTCAGCCCCAGCCTCTCAGTTTTGTCAGATGGAACCAAAGTTTAAGCCTCCCAGTTCTGAGTTTTTAGTATTGACCACTAGGTCAATACTTTACTTTTTTTCATGTGTTCCATCCTTGTAAAGAAATTAGAATGGCACCACCTCTTCAGCAGCAGGATGTTGATCTAGTGCTACCTTGTGGCTGCTATGCAACTTTATTAAGGCTGATAAGATTTGAATAGAAAAACCTCTATTGCATTTTCCGTATACACAATGGCACACGTTAAAATGAAATTTAGATGCACCACTCTCAAAAGAGAATGGTCTTTACCCTTTTAAACGCCAATTGTGCAGTGCTACACAATTTCTGTAAAACAGGTGAAATTTGACTACATTTTTGCTTAACAAAAGAAAGTCATCAAGCCACTTATTTAACCAAATTAACAAATGAGAGGAACAGGAATAGCATATGGAACAACTTTGACTAAATTGTAAATCTCTATAATTAAAAGCACATCTGCATTTCATTAATGGTCTTTCTATCAATAGAACAGGTAAGTCCAGGTTAATACGTTAATGCTAGGCAGTAATTACAAGTGGTAGGATTTGACTCCTATACCAAAGTGATCAGTTTTATGTATCTACAGTACACATAAACATGTACAACAGGCAACAAGCTATTTAAAAATTTGATAGCTATCATAGTATTAGTATACTGTATGCATGATATATACTCTATTACCCTCACCCAATTACTAGGCAACATTACCGTGTGTAGCTATGTAGACTGATGAAATTTTGCACTTATTTGTTTAAATTTGACTGCCCAACTCCAGTGAGTCCTAATCCTATCCCTACACATTCCCATTTTATAGCTGAGGAACAACTGGTTGATGAGTTAAATTCAGGATATTGTAATTTGAAATCCCTTCTACCTGTAAGATATATTTGCCAATTAAAATTAACCAAGGTTTTTTTTGATGGTCACTGTTTTTAGGCCAAAATCGTTTAAAGGTCTACTTGTGAGAATGCCTCATCCCCTTTATTTGTATGTTGGTGGAATTTGCTACTGAAGGGAGACATCTAAGGAAAAAATATTTGAGATATTCAATAACAGAGCAATTACTATGAATTTTTAATACTATCTCTTCTTTTTTCACACTGCAATGTTGTGGACAATTTAGAGCCTTTGGTTGTTGCTAAATAAAATGCAATGTTGAAAGCTAATTATCATAATTCAGCAAAATTAAAAGGGCTACAATATCTCAATTTTGGAAGTCTTATTTATCACATTTCTACCTTGCCCATCTCATTCAAGTGATTTTAATTATTTTTATGTATGCATGTACATACACAAACATTAAGATATTATAGCTTAAAACAACTGAGACTGGAAGGACCACAAATAGTTAAATAAAACCACACAGACTCTGCTTCTTTGGCATATTGGAAGTTCAGCAATACGTACTGAAGAATATATGAACTTTCATCTATGTTCCCCAGCCCACATTAGAAATGAAAAGCTCTTCTAGGGTTAGGGTTAGCTCCCTATGAAGTCTAGCACAAAAACTGCCATCTCAGTTCAAGTCAGAGAGCCTCTTTATGCCTAGAAGACATGTTTGTTTTCCAGTCTATCTCCTTAGAAATCCTAGGAAAACTGCATGGGAAAATTGCATTGGAAATGGAAAAGTCATTTTGGGTTAGGCTTCCATGAGGGTGGGACCAAAAACCAACATCGCAGTTCAATTCAAAGAGCCACTTTATGTCTACTGGACCTGTCTGCTTTCCATTTTGTCTCCCTAGAAATCCTGGCCAAATTGCATGGGAAATCCCAATGGAAATGGAGTGGTCGTATAGGTTTAAGATTAAGCGCCCAGGATATATGGCTCCAAATGGAAAATTAAGATTCAAATTAAGGGTGTCTATGTCTGGGGGACCTCTATGCTTTCCGTTCTGTCTCCTTAGGAATTGTAGGCAAATTGCATGGGAATACCCCCCTGTAAATGGAAATGTCATTTAGGGTTAGATACTCCCCATCACGTGTAGCCCAAAAATGAACATCAGATTCAATTCAGAGAGACTTTTTATGGTTAATAGATGTTTGTTTTCAAATCTGCCTCCCTAGAAATCTTAGGCACATTGAATGGGAAAACCCTATTGAAAACAGACATCGACTATGATAGTTATATTTTCTTAAACGATTTAGAAAAAAGTAACATTCTAAT